ATTAAAACTGTGTTTATCAACTTTCATTGAATGAACTCGTTTATTCAGGCATTATAATCAATCAGATTGCACCTATATTAAAAATACATTTCATTTAACTACTAAAGTATACGACGAAATCTCAAAATGTACATATAGTAGAGGTAATTGTGAACGAATTACCTAATAAACTCATTATATGTAATACATTAATTATAGATTACGTTATACGTAAATGCAAGCGGATTCAAGGGCATCCAAACCTCTAATTGCGGAATTTAAATTTATGTTATAAAAGCGGCTGATAAGGGCGGCAAAATTGTCACCACGTTTATTAGGTTATTTTTTATTGGTAAAACTGGAAAAAAGAATCATTGTCAAATCACATATCTTAAATTACGTGGAATTCAAAAAATACTATATTAGCAAATTCATAGTTAACTTGAGTTTCTTATGTAGGCCACATACGGCACTTACATTTTTAAATGGAATACCTCAAAATTTATTTGATTTTTGATTTCTATTTAAGTTGTGATTATTTTCCATGGCACAAGCTTTGTTTCGGTCCTAAAGCTGTTTCGAAATATCAAAATCTGTTTGTGTCGACAACAGCACCTTTATAAGAATGAAATCTAATTATAAAAGGTAGAACACATAAACGTTCAATTGGATGACGCTAAGCGTAAAACAAATTTGTTTTAGAGGTTGTCAACAACCTGATTAGGATTTTTCAGCATTTTATGATTATTCCCCATTTAATCCAAGTCCGACGGCTTGTTGTTGTGCAGTTTCTTTAATTTGCCCCACAAAAAGAAATCTAGGGGAGTAAAATTTGATGGGAGAACTGGCCATTCTATTGCTAACCTTCTACCATTGTTGCAAAAAAACCTTTTCGGCACTTTCTTCCCTATTAATCAGTTCAATGAAAATTAAATCATGTATGAAAAACATAAAAAATCTTAGGAAAATTCAAAAATCGAATACCATTTGGTGTATGGATTCCATTAAGAGATTTAAAGTAGATGTGTGGCGCGTTTCTGGGGACAAGCCCGTAAACACTACAAATTCTCAAAATATCACACATTCGATAGGTCTGAGTGTTTTTCAAAAATATGGTTAAGAAAATATAGAGCGTTTCGTATATATATAGAGCGTTCCGTTCTTTTTAGCCCCACTGTATATCAAACTACAGGGCGGCACACAAAGTAACAACATTTATTTATTCAAAAAGCAATAATATTGGACTACTTTCCACTAGTATTCAGTGCGCTTTTGTCGATAGTTTAGTATTTAGTTGACCTACATCTGGATGATTTATTTTTTCAACAAATACCAGTATTATCTCTGATACACGAACAGAGTAAATATTGTGATAATCATTCAAGTTTATAATACCAACGGCGAATAAATTATTTTGAGATAAATCGAAAAATTGTTTGAAAAAAAAACATTGATAATACAAAACATATAATTCCATAAATCTGACAGAAATAATTTCGGCTTCAGAAATAAAGAAAAATCAGAAGTATAGTCATTCATCAGGAGTATAGTATTCAAATTTAGTTAGGTGTTCTTTGGTAACTGTAAATGGTAAACTTTTCAATATTTATATCGGGCTTTATGGTCCGGTAGAAGTTTGGAAGTGGTCGAAAATTGGAGTTCCAGATTGCTCTTCATTCGAGCCAGCCGTGGCGCCCCAAATCATAATTAAGCTATATGGCATACAATTGCCTTTTCTATAAAGCCATGACGTTACCAAGATTTTAAATAACTGTTCTATATCTATAAAAAAATACCCTTTAGTAGACTGAAAACAAAATTGTAATGTACATTCATCAAAAATGGTCGGTAGTAATTTTTTGAATGAGTGGAATCCGCAAGGGATAACTAAAATAAGAAGCGCCAATTTAAACGGACATACCAAGTGAATGTTATCCAAACATCTACTATGTATTTACAAAAGTTCTGTCAGAGATGTTCCTATCTAAAATGTACACGCACTCATGGGAAAACACACAGGGATCTGAAAGATATATTTTTGTTTGTATATTTAATAAATACGCTTTGAGGGTCGTGCTAACTTCTAGAATTTTAAGAATCTGCTTGCTGATTAATCTGTGCTTTCTAAGTTTTATCGAAATCTGCTTAGTGATTTTCTTCTGCAATACTGTAATCTATTTAAAAAATAGTAAATTCTTAACATTTGTGTTTAAATCTCTTTCTGAATTCAAGCGACAGGAATATAAGGTACATTATTTCGATTAAAATATTTAAAAAACACTGTTTGTGGGGGGCATTCAGCATTTAAATGTGAATAACTTAATAAATCGATTTATTAAATTAATGTACACTGAAAATGTCTTAAATGATTTTTTTGAAGTTGGTAGAAATTATTTGAAGTAGCTTTTACATCTTAATAGTGGGTTGTTTTTCATTTACTTTCGGAATTTGTCCTACATAGAACAATTAAAAGTATGGCTTTTCAGTCTTTTGATTGCAAACTGTTAACTCTCATATCAGCACCAATCTGTCAAAATAAATTAATCTAAAAAAATACCCATATGCATTCACCAATATTTTCCATTACTTTCATGAAATTAATCTCCCCCTATTTTTGGTCACTTGAATTCAGAAACACCTTGTATAACATACCTATGGAAACCCATAATGCTAATTGTGACATTGAATGAGTCAATTTGACATTGCATAGGAATAAATGTTTCTCATTTAGTCAGCTTTTAGCTGAATAATACAATCATCTACTATTCTAACATATTCTTGAAAGGCACAATAATATAAACGAGCAGCTTTTCCTTAAAGCGATTAAATCCTAATAGCGCATAGATAGCATACTCTTAACTGATTGCTGAAGCAATTAACCTATTATATACCACTTGCTTAGGTAATTTGTCTTCATTATTAGTATGCCTTCTAGTGACAAACCGGCTGAGGCCGACCCTGATATTGAAGACGGAGAAATTACTGATGATGATGAGGATACGCCACTGGCGGCTCCTTCGGAGCTTACTCCTATTAGTGCAGGAGCTCAGCCAACAATTCCTGGTATTCCCAAAGCAGTGGGAAGTATTTCTGATAATGAGAGTATCGGAGTCTCGAGCAGGGATCCCGGAGATCCGAATGCAAGGATAAGCGATCAAGAAAGATCTGATGACAAAGATAGATTATCGGATGGAAGAGAACGAGATAGAGGAAGAAACAAAAAGCAAAATAGAGATAAGGGCATCAGAGAAGATAAAGCACACAGACATATGACTGAAGCTGAAAGAAGTATTTTACATCTTAGAAAGAGAGAAAAAATGTTAAGACAACGCGAGAAATGGGACAAGCATCATAGAAAAGAAATTGATCCTGCAGGTAATTTAGCACAAGATATTGGGCCCCCATTTATTAATTGAGAGCGTGATGATAAACGTAATTATCTGTTTCAGATGACGATTTTGCAAAAAATATAGAAAAAACATTAGCTACTATTTTGAACAAGAAGGAGAAAGAAATTGCTTCGTTAAGTGCTGGGGAAGACGTCAAAGAAGAAGGAAAAAGAGGAAAGAAACGGAAGAGGCCTGACCGTGATGGTACCCGACCCAATAAGGTACAGTAGTCCAGTAGGATTAGATATTTTCCGGGCACTAAATAGATGAAGGTAAAAGATTATTGGAAGGATGTCAGAATATCTCTCTTACTCAAAAAACGAAACAAACCGACGAATTTGGCATTTTTTAAAGTTTTCTATAATTCATTTAGTTTTGCTTCCAAAAACTCTCACTATAACTTTTTTGAAGGTCTGGGTATACTTAAGTGTGTACACTATAAGTGGTATACATTTTAGCTTAAAATATTCATAACTTTTTGTTCTTTCCTATTTGTTATTAAAAAAAGCTCTTAATTAAAAAAATACTTCTCTGAGGCTGTATTTTACTCGTAAAGAATTATACTACAAATTTTATTACTGAATGGTAAATTGTTTAAATATTAAGTTGAAAATCAAGAATTTGTGTGAGCTGCTGCTGAAATTTTTCGACTGGAATTGTTTATCAACGACTTTTATGAAAACCGTCAACGACGTACGTGGAAAATTCCTGAATTTCAACTTAATTTTTAAACAATTTACTCTTCATTAATCAACTTTTCCGTTATTCTAATGTAAGTTGTAGTATGTCTTCGCCTCTCGTCGCTCCGGCGTCTCATAATTTTTTTTTAGAATCTGGCAAGTCTTTTGCATGCATCAACAAAAAGTTATGAATATTTTATTCTAAAATTTATACCACTTATAAAGTGTACGACGACCTTCAAATAAAGTTATAGTACGATTTTTTTCAAGCAAAACTAAACTAATAATTTTTTTTTAAACTACGTTTTTTTTCATTTTTTGAGTAAACAAATGAACGGATTTTAATTTAGTTTGTCTTGTATTGTAGGTATTTTTAATACTTGAAAAAGTCTTAAACTTTTTTCAATTGCATCAACGATTTAAAAGTTATGCGCAAAAAAGCAGTTTTTCGCACTTTCTTTAATTATTTAAACAATGTTGCATAGCCGAAAATCGCGACCAAACTATTGTCCCAATATTTTGACATTCTTCCGAACAACTTCAAATAATCTTTTACCTTCATCTATTTAGTCCCCGAAACAGGCCTTTTAAAGTCTAATCTGACTGGATTTACAGTAAAAAAATCGAATGTGAATATTTAAATGCGCTGTTAAACGTAAACATACATATTTGTTGATATGAAAACATAAATAAACTTTCAGAACAAACATAAAAGATCACTGGGTTCTCCGCGCTCAGACATCGATGAAAATGAAATTTTGAATATACGAAGTGGTTCGCCTGGAGCGGAAATGAGATTAGGCCCTCCTGGTTTTGGACCTCCAATTGACCATAGACAGTCTGGAAGCAATTCCAAATCTGACGAGAGTTATAATTCTGAAGATTCAGATGAATTAGACGCTAGGTATGCCACAACGATCCTGATCCCGTTTCGATCTTAGTAGCTTTTGTTACGAGACACAATCTCATATTTTTTTATTACAGGACTAGGCGGAAATTGACTAAGATGAAGAAGAAGAAAGAAACGAGAAGAGAAAGGAGAGATCAAAAGCGAAGAGATGAACAGCCTAAAATGGCGCTGCAAGACGCGCAAGGAGTATGTGTGTTTTACATGCAAGGAAAATGTCAAAAGGTTTATATCATAACTTTCCAACGTGAAATTTAGTGGGTCAGTAAACCACAATCCCTTTTTTAATCCATAGAATGACTGTCCATATTCTCACGAAGTAAGCCCGCCTATGAAGTTAGAGCTGTGTAAGTTTTACCTTATGGATTGTTGTGCAAAGGGAGAAAATTGTTCTTACATGCACAGTGAATTTCCATGCAAGTTTTATCATACCGGCCTTGCGTGCTCAGAAGGCAAGGACTGCAAATTTGCTCACGGTCAGCCATTATCTGAAGGTAACTCAATTCTTCTATATTCTATTCTTTTTTGTAGCTGTGACAAGAGAGACTAGTTAAATGTACGCGTCTTGCATTTTAACTTTAAATATTGTCGCGATTTATACAAGGTGATCCTATTTCTTTGGTGGTTTTCAGGCCTAAAGCAAATTCTCTTCAAACACATCGAAACTGCACCACGCGACATCCTTCAGGGCTTCCCTAGGTTATCACGAGACGAAGCACTCAACCACATCAATCAAACACAGAAAAAACTCACTGAACAATACAGCAGCAATAAAAATTTGGATCAAAACACTTCTTCCTCCACTACCACGTTAAACCGAAACTCGCCAACTGGAACCCAGCAAAGTTATGGGGGTATTCCATTGGGTTCAGTCGGTTTAGGAGTTTACCGTGATGACTATGGGGATAATAAGGAAACATCGGACCGAGAAAAGGAGGAAGAAAAAGGTGGGATACCATCCTTGTTTGATATTAGCGTCCCGGTGCCTAGAGAATTGGCCCAGGGACAAGTGGTGGGTTAGTTTCGAATTTTATTGGAGTTTGGTTGTTTTAGTATTGCCTAACATTAAATTCAATCAATGCAAAGCTTTCTAATCTTTGTTATGAAAACAATTATTCCTTTCATAATTTAACTGTTTAAAGTCAAGCTTTTTTAAATTATTTTGAGTTTTGTTCCCTTTGCTTTTTGCCTGTCTCTGTTCTGATATATTACTAATTTTCCGTAAAAGCGAAATGACCGATCGGGTTTTGAATGTAAAATCTGCTGAATTTTGTTTCATTGTGTTAGCGAACAATTATTTTAATATCAAAGCATATAAATTTTATAATTTATAACATTTATTTGAAATAATATAGGAATTTAAGTCAATTGATGTAAAGGGCGATTTTATTAAGAGTGATATTTTGTTACAGAACCTAAGGGAAGTAAAAATGACAGGTACAAGAACAAAAACTCCAGATGGCAGCAAGAACAAGAGCACAAATTATCGTCCGGGTATTCGGTCAAAAGCTACACTTACGGAGCGGATCAAGATATGAGATATTCGGGGTAAATTTTTACTTGTTCTTATTTCTACTTGCAATCCAATTAGTGTTATTCGTTTAAATTAATTTACTAATTATTAATTATTTCCAGCAATGGAGATATTGATATGAGAACCCTACCGGCCATTCCATCTTCGGAGTCAAAGCCGTTGAATGAAACATTGGATGGCCAAAAAGGGGATGTCGATATAAGAAATTTTCCGAAATATGTGGATATCAGGTTGGTTATTTAACCTTTAACTACTTGAAATTCAAATTCTTTATACATGGTGTCCCGGAATATGTGGGCTTGCTCTCGGATTTGTACAGGGGACGTTAAAAAAACAAGTTTCTTAAAAAAAATCCAGAGGGCCCCTTTTGACCTTTGACCTGAGAATCGATTTTTTTTTAAATAACTTTTTGAGTACTTTTTTTACCCTGTACAATGAAGACATGAAAATAATGTATTTAGGTAGCTTTAACCTTAAACCAAAAAAGACACTCTTGATTCATATCCATAAACAGGACGGTTTTTGAGGAAAAATATTTTTATTAAAGACGGATTTACTGAACAATCAGCAACCGCATTGCTATTCACTCGGTTTTGGCAAACGTTTCTAAAATTATTTACGGAAGATATTATTTCACCTACTCGAAAAGTACGATAATGCAAATACAGAAAGGCTTTACGCGGAATGATTTCCAGACCGAAGAGTGCCGGATAGAAGAACTTTTGAAAGAGTGGATCGTCATTTAAGAGACAGGTAATAAAAATTTTTGTATTTACATTATCGTACTTTTTGAGTAGGTGAAATAATACCTTCCGTAAATCATTTTAGGAACGCTTGCCAAAATCAAACACAATTGTGGAAACCAAGGGAATGGCAATGCGGTTGCTAATTTTTCAGTAAATTCGTATTCAATAAACTAATTTTTTCCGTTCTGTTTATCGATATGAATCAAGAGTGTCTTTTTTAGTTTAAGGGTAAAGCTACTTAAATTCATTATTTTCGTGTCTTCATTGTGCAGGGTAAAAAAATAACTATTGTGCTCACCTAGTCCATCCCTGCCAAATCGAAATGCAAAAAATTTTTTCATGGGTCCTTTTAAAGAGCAATTATACGTACTGTTCATTGTGTGAAAGCAATTAAATTGCAAGAATTATTCTAAAAGTTATTTTAAAGAAATCTATTCTCAGGTGGCTCCTCTAGAGGCCTGTAGCTGCGTAAGGGAGCCCTTTGGAAATTTTTTTATAGAAACTTGTTATGTTTTTTTAACGTCCCCTGTACAAATCCGAGAGCATGCGCACATATTCCGGGACACCCTGTATAAAGCGTTTTCCAATAAGCCGTTTCATTTTGAATAGTCTACGCCTAAAAACTACGCCATTATTAAATAATGCCATATAAAAATGGTACGATACACGCTTCAGCAACGCACTGAAATTCACTACAAAAATAGTGAAAATGTTGCAGCCACAGTTCGCAAACCTAAAGCATTTTTTGGTCGTCGTGAAGCGCCTTCTCGCCCGGCAATAGTGAAACTGGCGGAAAAATTTGAGCTGTTGAGACAAGTTAGTGATGTGAAGAATCGAAACCGTGTGCGTGGCTCAAGAACAACTGACAAAATTAGCTATTGTAGCCAGTAGTGTTAAAGAAAACCCCGGTTTGACGATTCTTCGTCGATTTGGAATTAGGCATTTCACAAACGACCTTACAGGGTATTTTGCATAAACTCTTAAAGCTTTTCAAGTTCAGTTAACACAAGAACTCACGCCGGTTGATTGAGCATTCGGGGCTCAGAAAATCCAAGAGTGATTGAATTAATGAAAAGCCCCTCCATCCTCAACGTATCACTGATTGGTGCAGTTTTTGGGCTGGCGGTGTGATTGGACCTTATTTTTCCGAAAGTGAGGCTGGTGTAACTGTTACATTTAATCATAATTCATGATTTTTTGTGGCCGAAATTGAAAATATTTATGTGGACGACGTTTATTGTCAGCAAGACGACGCTACGTGCCACACAAGCAACGAAACAATCACAATCTTGCAAGAAAAGTTTCCTGACCGTGTTATTTCTCGAAGAGGTGATCACAATTGTCCACCGAGATCTTGTGCTTTAATAACTTTAGGCTTTTGTCTTTGGGGCCACGTGAAAGATAACGTCTATGCCAATGCTCCACAATCGATTCAAGACCTTAAAGATGAAATTCGTGAAGTTATCGAGGACATACAGCCGCAAATGTGTGATTTGGTCATGGAAAATTTCATGAAAACGATTTGCCATGGCGGACACTTGGCTGATATCGTTTTCAAATGTTAATGACATACCTTCCTCTTTGCAATGAAATAAACATTCATTGATATATCTTAAAACATACTCAGTTTTTTAATATCAAAATGCAACCTCTTATTGGAAAAACCCGGTATATTTCTTGGGGAGATTAAGTAAAATGTAATAATTTGTTTTCATACAACAGTTGTAATAAGCCTAATGTTTTTGTTTCACATTCAACAGGCAACCTCCATTTGTCAGGAATGTAACTGGTTCTAAAGATACGGATATTAGACAAAGGCCGCTTGAAGACTTACAAGCAGACTCCGATAAGAATGCCAAAAAAGACTCGTCCGCTAACTTTACTCAAACCACAAAAGATCTATTTGCCCGAATAAGTGCAAATCAAAAAGACAATACTGTCGATTTTTCGGCAAATAGTTCACAAAATCAACAACAGTCAAGTGACGGCCAATCGGTAAGTTCTAATGCATATAAGAATACCACAGTATTTCATTGAGCAAAATTTTCCAAAGGTAGTTAAGAAACCGTTTTATCGACGTTTTCCTTTGAGTTGAACTATGAAGTAAGTTTGATTCATATTTTCAGCAGAAGTATGATGAACAAAATATAAACTGGTATTCGGATGATGATGATGACGATGACAATCGGCTTACCATTAAAGTGGAAGACGAAGAACCTCATAAGAGAGAACGGGAAGATAGTGTAGATAATGATCGAGAAGTGGACGAATCGAAAAATGATGCCGTAAGGTAAACTAATTTGTGTAAATTTGGCTTTTATTTGAATCCGACGGAACAAAATCCGAATGGCAAAGTGTGAATAACGTTTTCTGTTTTACAGTCCATATACCAAACCACCCATAGCCTCCACTACTGAAGAGATTGTGGGAAAGTTAGGCGATCTATCAAAAATTGATATTTCCGCTGAAGTGACCAAGCTTTTAACGTCAATGAGTCAAAAAAGCGCTAGCTGTTCAGCCGAAGGAACCTCAGCAACTGTTGCGAACGATTTCAATCCTGACAGCGGTTCCAGTCCGACAGGAGACGGGGCATCTATTGATCCAAGGATTTCTCGACAGGTAATATTTGTATTTCAACCGGCAAAAATGTGAAAAAGTACAATTTGTATAAATCAATTAGTTAAGAAAACACTTAATAAAATAGTTTGCATTTATAGATGAAAGAAGACCCGCGACAGCAGGAGCAAAGATCAGATCCCAGGCTCAGTGATCCTCGCCAAAGGGGACGTCAAAATTCCAATGATTCAATTGAAAAGCAGTCAAATGCTGAAAAATCCACGATGAGCATATATGAACAAGGTGGGATCGATATGAAAAAAGCAGCCCTGGATATCGGCACCGAAGAATTAAAATGTAAGTGTCTAAATGTTTTCTTCAGTAATTAATTTGGTACGACCTCAAATAATATGAAAAATATTTTTTATTAAGTGTGCACAAAGTGATCGAATGTCGATGTTTTAGCTGTAGGTATTATACGAAAATGAAAATCACTAGAAAAATCTGAATCGAGATTCTTTCATTGGGATTGAGTAAGGCCAGTTTTAAGCCAAATGTTCATATCTTTTAAATTTGATAACCAATGTAAAGAAGTCAGCGATTTTTTTTCTACAGTGTGTAACAATGATGTAGGTCCAAACCAAATGCGCCCATCTTTTTAGGAAATACGTCACTTGTCGCGCTCACAAAAGGCTACCCGCTGTTTGCGCTACGACGGTTCTATTTCCAAAGAAACTGGTTCCGGGGTTTTCCAATGCTGATCAATTTATTTTAAACAGATTTGGTTCGTTACAACTTACAACTTGTCTTTTTGTTAAATCAAACTGAAACTTCTCTAAACTGTCAAGAGTCACCAAAACGGAGACTTTCTACCTGCCCTCTTAACAATAGTTTCCATAGTTTCCGACATCACTTATGACCAGTAAACTTGCGGCGAAATGTGATTTAGACAGCTTTTCTTTCAAACACAATATATTTTTTCAAATGTGCGGATGTCAGACCGTAACAATGATTTAGGTTCACTTGTAAAAATCGTAAGTTTATAATGTTTTGTCTTGGGTTTTTTTTTGTTTTATCGTATTATTTGTACGTTGTTAGAGCATAGAAAGGCAAGGCATTAAATGATGAGGAGAAAGGTAGAGCCCGAGTTTATACACAAGTTGGAAAGACCCATGTTCACAACGTTAAGGGAGCGGCTAATCTGCCCAGCAATCGTGAAATTGCTCGGCAGATTGGCCGTTCCCTTAACGTTTTGAACAATTTATTCCGATTAGACTCCGAATACGGAAAGAAGAAGGCTCGAGGGAGAATCCCAATTCTCTCGGCACGCGGAAGAAGGATTACAGCTGCAGCAGCAAATTCAACGAAGAGAACCCGGCGGCTGGAGGGCTTTAAAAGGGTCCCCCATATTCATTATGATAAAATAAAGTCGACTCCATCGCTAAGAAAAAATAATCAGCTTCTAAAAGCACATTTTGCCGATCAACATCAAACGTGGACAGCGCAATGGCACTCGGTATATTCTTAGTCGCTGGAATTCGTTGTGTTTGTGCAAATTGTGTGGTCCGATGAGAAGAGATTTAACTGGGATGGTCCAGATGGCTTTGCAGATATATTACTGGCATGATTTACGCTACTTTTCGAAGCGAAACTTTGGTGGTGGCTCGGTAATGATCTAAACGACTTCCTCAGCGTTCGGGAAGTCAAGTTTAAGATTTCTGAACGGGAGAATTAACACCGTAACGTACTAACAAGTACTCAGACGATCAAGCGATTGGCATCAGTACACCTCCGACGAGCTGAAAGAGGCCATTCAAGAAGCATAGAATCGGGCCACAGTTGAGCAACTTAAGAACTCAATGCCGAACCGAATAGATTTGTTGATCAAAAGTGCTGGAAAGGCAATTAAGCATTTGAGGAATGTCGTTTTTTGATTGTTGCGGTTGTTTTCATTTTAAAGCTGCACAGTATTTCCTAAAAAGATGAGCTCTTTTGGTCTGGTAGTTTTTCAGTCAAAGTTAAGGACAAAAAAGTGGGTGAACCTAAATCATTGTTTCACTATGTCTTTATTATGGTATATTTATTATTTTAAATAAATATATATTTCTCTGTTCAAAAAGTACTACGATTTAAAGAACTAGCATTTCAAAATATGTAGCCAAACCGCACGAATTTGTTGGTGATAATGGTTTGGTTCTCATTTAACTCAACTGAAAAATTGTTCCATACTATGAATAACACGATATTCCATTAGTTTATGGAGAATTTCAAAAGAACCCTAGAATTCAGGTTTAATTTAGCGCCCAGAAATACCCTGAAAGTGATATCCCAAAATTTAAAATATTAGCTAGAGAAGAAAGAAATGGAAGAAGTTTCTTCCCAGAAGGTGCTTGAGGTTGGCGAACTTCAAAATTTGTATGATCTCTTCGGATGATACCGACGAAATTCTTGTTTTTGTTTCTTCTTAATGTTAAATTACTAATTAAGACAAATTAATAATGTTTAATTATTAATAGATGAGAGTTCTCTGTTTATTTTCGAAAGCAACTGCGAATTTCTTATACTTTTTAACATAGCGCACCATTGCTTCAAAAAATATTTTAATTTTTAAATAATCTGTATATGCCACTTGCCACTTTCTTCATTTATAAACATTATTTCGTATTTTTTGTGTCATTTTTGAAACACGGGTGCGAGATATCGTGGGCTTAAAGCTAAAACTGACCAAGTCTATAATATCAATTTTTGCAAATTTAGGTTTAAACCGAGCAAAAAATTATGTCAGAATCCTTCTGGAAACCTGATCATTATAAACATAGTTTAGTGCATCTGTTTGTGTTTGTAAAATGGCATGGGGGGCTTCGTCAGTTTTTTAGACAAATATATCATTTTTTATATTACTTGGCCAACAAGCACAAAAACGGCAATTTTGGACTTGGTCACTTTCAACTTTAAACCCACGATATGTTTATCATTTTTCAATCGAAAAAGATCGAAATTGTTCCCAATTCTAGGTAGATTCATACGGGAAAAGTCGATGCAGTTATTACGTCAATTTTCAAGAATAAAAATGTGCAATGCGGATCTTACTCAATTTATCTTTATCTAAAAACTCGAAAAAGGAAATGATTGAAAAAATCTGTTTTCAATCATTTCCTTTTTCTTACAATAGAAATCTAAAAATAAAATCTTTTACAGCATCCAGGCCAGACATTGATTTGAGAAACATGTCTCTAACATTTAAAGGAATGCAAAACTATACACCCGCTACTGAAATCGATGCTAGTATAAACTCGCATCCTGCAATGGTCTGGAAGGTGTTTGTAGTTGAAATACCAAGACCCGATTATACAGGTAAGCTTAAAGATGACAATTTGAGCCCAAATATCTGGCTAACTAAAAGAACACTATATTTTTATTATTGATTTTTTGTTGTTTTTTTAGGGCTCAAACTAACGGTCAGTGATGCAGAAAAAACCGGCGATCCGCGGCTGAAGAAAATATTCCGACTGAATATTGATGAAAAGGACAGCCCTGCATCTCCTAAAGCCAGTCCAAAGCACAGTGGCGGAGCTAGGATAGACCCTAGACTGAGGAAAATTGAAGAGAAAGTTCAAGAACCCAAAGTAAGTTATAGAAAATCGCATTACAGACTGTGACATTGTATATGAAAATAGCGGTCATATGAATAAATAATGTACTTTCAGGACTTTCCTCAAAATCCTCAGATGAGCTATAACCAGCAAATAAGCATGCTTCGGTCCTCGCAATTCTACCAAACTTTGACGAGTAATCAAAAGCTCATGTTGAATCAAGAACTAGCTAGATGCGACCAGAGCGGCGGAGGCGGTTCAAACGACCCTGTTTTAAACACTGTTTTGAACCGCTTAAATTTAATTCCCCAAGTAAGTTCCTCTCAACGCAAAGGCATAGATTGCTTTTAGGTTTTTTTTAATAATGCAAGTTAATATTTACATATCTCCTTTTTTCAGATGTCACAACCACAAAGCCCAATGGGACGAAACACACACGTTGGAGCAGCCGCATCCATTCTCACTAATATAGCTAAAATGAATCCCATGATGTCTAATCCGGGTCTAATGGGTCAACCGGGTCTTTTAGGGGCTGCTCCAGGAATTCCGAATATACCCCCAGGAATGGGTCCTGACTATCCAATGAACTTTGAACATAGGGGTGGTCCAGGCTTGTTAGGAAACGCTCCGCCTGGACCCGGCTTTGGTCAATTCGGTGGGATGGATCAACCTCCATTTGGCGGCTATAATGATGACTTCTATGGGGGATATGATGATCAAAGCAATATGGGACCACAAGGGGGCAACTTTAGACCAGGCAGGGGATATAACAACAGGGATAACAGAAGGAGAGGCACTAGAGATGGGTTTCGTGGGGGGAGAGGTATTAACAGAAATTTTAACAAGCGAGGTGGAGGCAGAGATAAATGTGATAGGGATCGAGGTAGAGGTAACAGAGGTCACTCACCTGGTTAGTCTTTATTCCAATCGCAACAAGAATAAACTCCGAACCGCAAAATTTGAAGACTGCATTGAAAACTGACAATTGTTACATAAGTAGCGGTAGCGAGAAGAATAGCAATAATTTGTGTTTCTCGATTATTAGTTTGAAATTGTTAATGCAACGGGAGTATCTCGTAGGGCATAAATGTATAAGAAATCATAATATTATTTATGAAAGGTTCCGTACGTAACTTGGTGCCAAAATATAATGAGTACAGCATGTGTCCTTTTTACACTAAAAATTTTAAGCGGAATTCATTATTTCGGAGTACGATTGTCTGTAGATCACTACTTTGTAATCAGAAATATTTATAACAACCATTGGGAAGGATTGTACCATAAACACATCTGGCCATTATCAAGTTACAATTCATTTTCCCAATAGTTTAAATACACATATTGGATTCAGTTTTGATTTTTTGACATGAAACCAATCCCTTAAATGTTATAAATAGTGTTGTTGTTTCAGTTGGGAATAAACTCTGTTAATGCAACTCACTGATCCTAATTACAGTTAGGAAGCACGTCTTAAATGTTTAACAGCTAGAATAATATATAAATCTATTTTTATAGACAAAGTTTGAAAATAAAAGTAGAAATATCAGAGCGAACTAGTCAACCTTTGCTTTGTTAAATCATCCTACAATCTTCCAAATCAGTTTTACTGTTAAAGTAGTTCAGTAATTATTCAGGAAAAATTATTAGCATTTTCTTTCTACAGGTCACGTTTAAATTAAAATGCTAATTATTTTTTTGTGTAAATTTTATATTTCCATTATTTTTTTGTTTTATTAACTGTTTAACAAGTTTTTGATAAATTTTTAACGAATTAAGACTGCAAAATTCATCCTTATAAGAGAATGGATATTTGTAAACGCAGGTAACCATAGAAAATTAACTATTCATTCAAATTTCAATAGTAACCATTTGACTGCTATATCTAGGGCAGTCAGTCAAGTTGATAAATGCAAATTAGGCTTCCAATTTTACTTAAAATCCACGTATTATTATCGCTTGACTGCCAGAACTAATTTCAATTTAATTTATTCGTGTTATTCGCTGACTTTAGATGCAAAATATGAGTTGACAAAATTTGCTTGAACAAATTAAATCATATCTCGCGACAGTTTTTAAGGTTTTAAGGCTGATGGTGGATATGAGCCTGATATTCTAAAGTCATCGTTCTGTTTGAAGAAAACTAAATTTATATCTGTAATTCTTTAATAAAGTTAATTGCAGTACTTGCAAACTCTCACTATATTTGATACATGTGTGTCACTTCCAAAGGTTTAGCCGTCAAATAAATACATTTTTAAGCTGACATAATTTTGCCCTGCGAGCAAGAAATATCCATACTAATAAGAATATTCTATTTATATTGTTAAATTATTTATCTGTAAATCCGTAATATGTATAGATTGTCAAGAAACGTTATTTTGCACATAGTAAATGTAAATATTTGAAGGGTCAAACTAAAGTTAGACGGAATATTATAATTATGATACATTGAGAACGAGATTTATTTATTTTAGTTTAAAATACTTTTAAGTTAAATAGTGTATATTTCTGTATAAAATGTATATTATATGATTTTGGCATTAAATAATTGAATAAAACCATGTGTTTTTAGGGGGCGATTGATAGTGATTTATTGCCTAGAATGGGGAGATCTTGATAACCTTTGAAGAATACACTTATAAATGTGTTTATTGACAAACTACGATATAAAATGCATCATAAAATAAATAGTCGTTAGGTACGGTTTCGGTGGTGCCATCGGCCGCAATCGCAATCGTGGGTATGTATGGTTTGGGTGATGCGTCTATAGCAGCAACAGATTAGTTTATCAGGAAAATTGTTTAAAATATGGACGACGCCGAACGTTTTATTTTGTTAGAAGAGGAAGAACAATTTTTTTWAAAACAACTTTAGAAAAGAAATCATCCGCATGCTATATTCCAAAGTCGTCCRAAAGATATTTAATWCTTCCTATAAATGGCCGTTTAAAAGAAGATGAGAATAAGTTCARAGAATTCTTAATCGTAAATCGATGGGTATTTTGGATTTAAYCTCAATTAAAATGCCATCTTCATTCTCTAAAAAAACGAGYCATTTTKCCAAAATGGTAATTACGACTGCGATTTGASTGGTCTACCAGTTGAATCGCATTAGCTGCGACTAGTCGGAACGAACGACCGAAACCGTTTACGTGCAAAGTAGATTAAAGGAATAATTTGCGATCATCCGCGTCTCGCTAGTCGCAGTTGCACCACCGAAAACGCACCTTTAACAGACACGAATCTTTATCCTTTAGATATAAACAGATAATCATTTAGAGCATTTCATGAAATCAATAAGATTTTGCAAGAAAAATAAAAACTTCCCATAGTCGACGAGCTAAAAATCTTCCATATTTCTAATAGTCCAGGAGGCAGGGGTCTTTTTGACCTAGTCATAGCGAATGATGCAAAGTGCTGTCACCGGTGCGGTGGAAGCGAGTGTGTGATGCTGAGGAAAACGCTGATAAAAGTTTTTTACAAAATAATTTTAGACAACCAGATTTTTTCCATGAATTAAAGACGTCTAATAATATACAAAACTAGCCAGCTGGGCCGTAGAGGGGAGACTACACGCCAGTAAGTAAAGTAAGTAAGCTTGTAAACTTGTAATAAACATAAATGATTGTAATGAGTGATGATAAATGAGTGTAATGATGTAAAAAAAAATTATTGCGCTTATGTATGTCTAGGACGCGCGGAATTTTCAAAGGTCCGACTGACGACTTTAACTGACGAATACTTTCACATTTMTATTGATGAATACTATWACGTTTATAAATTTCAAAYGGCMATTAAATAATCTACTGAAGGTATACATTATCAACTGCAAAGGTATTTTATACCTGTAGAATACGTAGCAGGCACAAAAAACATTTAATATGGAGAAGACCGAATGGCAAATGTTATAAATTAGCCTTTGTAGAAGKGTGCAGTTTCGTTTCCGAAAACACAAAAATTAATGAGTACCTTTTCTTAAATGTTTCTACATTCACTCTTTGCTGAAGYCTTCGCTAATCGTGATCCCACCAAATCAACACAYACAGAGYCGTATAAATTTAAAAGTAGATTATTAAAGACATTTCCTAAAAATATTAACATTGCCACAATGAATGTGCTAGTTAGAACTGATCTCGATATTCTGGAGGATGATTTTTTGAACCTAGCGGTAATAATTTTGAGCCAATGCATTCGTACTGACTTCTTCAAGATATCCGACAAAAGATAGTAAAATTGTTGCAGTTTGAATACCGCAAAATCTTTTTCCGAAGATTTGATCTACGCTGTATGGCAATATGAAAACGTCAAAAATTGTATTTATAGTACAAGTTCACCCGCTGACTATTTTCTTTAAATATCTGGCGTATTTAATGCTTAAAAAATAAGATTGTCTAAATGATTCAAAACAACTCTCTTCATTACATGTTCCATGTGATCCCATAGGACCCACCCTCGCGCAAGGTGCGCAAGCTGATCTTCCGTATAGATAAAAATCCAGCGACATAAAAACTACTCAAAATAGACCCCTCTGCCTCCCGGACTATAAACTAAATGCCTGTAAAAGACTAACACAAGCAATAAACACTGCGGCTGATTAAGAACAAATCAAATAAAAAAAAGCTTTCATGTTTCTTTTGTTAAAAAAAACCACAACGCATTTTTTTTGTCAAATTGTATTTCTTTATATGTAAGTATGTACAAGTTTAAGCAAGCTACTTGATAAACGTAATAAGTTCTTGTAGTATCGAAAATAATGGTTTTTGTTGAAACTCGTTGTTGTGTTGTGTTGAAGACATTGCAACAACCAAACCTACATTGTATGCAACATAACTGATTAATGCCAATCAATAACAGAATAATATTACCAAGATTTGGCTGTATGTTGAAGACTAAAGATAATTGAAAATGTCAATGTGTTTTAAACTCAATACTAGTTTTACATTAGCAATTTCCGTGAGACATCCGGCATGTGGGAAAAGTAATCACGAAATTAGTATCTATACTTACTTACAGGATTTTATTCCAAAGTAGCCAATATCACAGGCCGAAAAATGCGACGTTTATCAATTAAACGAATCTGACAATCCGTAATAATCATAGGCATATGTCGTATGACCAGTTGGATCCTGCTTATCTAGAGCAGGAGCAGCCGATACAATTCTGATTCCAGTATGTGCCAGACCGAAGAATTTCTTGGGCGTCAAATTGTTGCTGGTAAATTGCCACCCTATGTGGTTGTTACAGTTTATACATTCAATTACTGTCCAAGCGTAGCTAAAAGTCAAATATAAGTCTTGCTCACGCCTATGAGTTCATTTTTGTTCACCAATTTCGAGGATAATTATTAATTAATAGACAATTGTAAACTAAGACGCTTACCCCGGAAACCAAGAAAATTGTCGTGATGCATCGCCGGCAAGTCGAATGTTGTTCGCACACGATACTGTGATAATTTCATATACAAATCCACCTGAAATATACAATAGTTAATTCAGACACTAAAAATAACTGAAAATCAGAAACTTACCAGGATTCACATAATTGCTTTGGAGGCCGTCTTTCGACATGGCAAATATTTTGGAAGGATACGTGATTTCATATCGGCAATTATAACAACATATGAGTCTATCCTATAATAGAAAATTTAACTTGAAATAGGTAAATTTTATCAGCACGCAAACCTAGGCAATATATTCAAAACCGTCAGCTAAAAATCTTACCAATCTTAAATAATTGACTTCTAATTTTAATCTCTCCAATGTACTTTTAGCACTCAATATTCGAATCCTTTCCAAAGGTTTTAGCAAATAGTTCTGAACAAACCAGTACGACAGTCGCTCGGGATCATTCGGAATCAAGTCTAGAAATTTTAATACTTTTCTAAATATAAAATGTAACTCATTAGTATTAATTATTTTAAATGCCTCAAACATTTAAGAGAAGGTATGTTTAGGGACTCCCAAGTTAAAAAAACATACATATGAAAATATTGAAAATAGCGTCGATTGTTCACTAATAGATCGMGAGTTTTTAACAAAAATCAAACACAGCTTCTTCAATCAGAATCCAACGTTTTGAGTTCAATTAAGGGCATTATAATTTTAGAAATTGTTAATACAMAATCTCACAYAAAACTATCACATCGACTTCAATAAATCGGCGTAGAAGWATGTGTTCTTATTTAGTTTAAACAATGCGAATGTCTTCATACAGAACGTTGCGAGAATATATCCACTACTTGAAATGTTCACTGTAATGMAGGAGCTTAAATTAAAATCRATAAAAACTGAAACCATCTCTGCATATCWATGTAATTGTATTTTGTAGTGACTATCAGTATAGACACACGATCCCCCACTTGTTGCTGAGTGTTTTATTTGCTAGATGCCTTTCACTGGTGTGTTTTGCAGATTAACAATACAGGTAAAGAACATGCAGTTGTTTTATAAACAAATGCAGGAATTAATTTTTTTTCAAAAATATGCGAAATAAGAGCACTATTTATCAATGTGTAATAAAAGACGTGAGGAAATTCTGTCTTTTTTAAAGACAGAATTTTTTTTTGAGGCACATTTTTGAGGCGTAATACCCAACAAGCAGTTTGTAAAAAAATGAATCCGCCTCAACAATATAGAACTTATCTGCAACTTTAGTAATTTAGATTTTAAAGTTTAAGGCCCAATTTCACCATCTACGATTAAAATTTTAATAATTGATTAAATCTATTTAATCTATGACTGAGGAAGAACCAACCATACTAAAGGAGGAAATACGGGATGCCATTAATACTCAAACCCCTAAAATCTCCAGGAGCAGATAATATCACAACAGAATTCCTTAAAGCAATGGGCGAAAGTGTCCTGCAATTTCAG